AGGCCAGTCTGGATTTGCCTAATACTAGTTGTTGTTTACTGTACCCAAGTAACAAGTTTGGTCTGTTTTTTTTTTCTTTTTTCTTTTCATTAAAGAATGTCTTGGGAGACTGACTTTCAGTATCTTGGATATTTTATATTTGTTTTCCTAGCTGTTCAGGGAAATACCATTGGTTTACAATGTTCCCTTGAATGACTTTTCCCTGTTTGTCTTCTTTCTGAGAGATTATTTAACTTATGCTTTACTCTGGGGCTCAGCGTGTCCTTCCCCTGAGTCCTTAGTGCACCTCAGGTTTTGTTAATACATAGAGAAGACCCATCTGAACAGTATAAAGACATGTTCTCAAGACATGTTCTCATTATCTTACAGAACCATTCAAGTTTTAGTTTCTTATATATGAATCTTCCCAAATTTCAATTAGACATGTTTTTTTGTGCAATTAAGAATTTTATATATTTATATATAAGAATTTTATATATATATAATATATAAATAAATATAGTTAATATATATTTATTAAACATAAGAATAATTCTTTCTAGGGATTACAAGTTAAGGGTTCTTCTATTTCTTGTTCAATATCCTGTTGCAAACATGAACTTGAATATAAATACATTGAATATATGGAATGTAAACAATATAACATTATTACTTCTTGGTAAAACTCAAATTTTAAAGACTTGACTTCATTCAGTATTTGAAAAGTCCACAGAAGCAATGCTTTCCTCCAAACTCTTTAGCAGGAAATGATTTGGGGACACTCTATGAGTCTGTGGTCTTTAATCTTTACTCCCTGTATTTAGCTGAGTATTTTTCAACATCAAAATGACACAATGAGGCTTTTGTGATCAAGGCCTATGGATTAGGGCCACTGTCATCTCATCTAGCACTGTATTTAAAGACATCATAGGCTGGCAGAGGGTTGAGGTCTACGGCTGTCTCAGTAGTAAATTAATAAAGGCATTGTGTGTGTGTGTGGATTCTCTGGGACTGTGTTTTCAACAAAGGAGATTTATTTTCCCCAGAGGGACAAAAGGCAGAGAGTAACAGACAAAGACAAGGGACAGAGGACAATGGAGATTGCTGGACTTCAATACATTATTAGCTAGACCTTGGTAGTCAGCCTCAGGAGGAGGAAGTGGCCAAACAAGGGGATAGTCCTTGGTGGCTAGCTTTAGGAAAGTAATGGTTTAGCAAGGTGGAGGAAATGGAGGAGAAGGTAAGGCATAAACTATGTGTACCGTGTTTGCCATGCTTGGGCCTGCTAGAGCCTCTTCATAATGTATGTGCATGTGTACCCCATAAATACCTGGTAACTGAATGTGAGAAAGGGGGAATTGTATCAGTGGAACTGGAGTTTTGGATGGTTATGAATCACCACTAAGATGCTGGGAGTTCTAGTTATTATTATTATTACTATATTACTATTGCTATTATTACTGTATTACTATTATTACTCTGCAAGAGTAATAAGTGTTCTTAACTACTGAGCCATCTTTCCAGCCCTGGAAACTCACCCTAAAAAACAAGTATAGTTGGGCATATGAGAGGAGGAGCACTTATTCACTGCTGGGGTTAATGTCAGTTGGTACAGCCACTGTTAACAGTCAGTGTGGATGACCCGCAAGGGATAACACCGCACTCTTGGGTCTCCAGGTAGGCACACTACAGGTAAATTTGCACATCGGGCTTATTGCTACAGTATTCATAATCGTGAGCAAATGGAATCATCTTAGATGACAATTGGCAGATGAACAAAAGAAGAAAATGTGCTCCACATACATAATGTTCTTTCAGCTGTGGTGAAAACTGAAATCATGACATTTGCAGGAAAATTGATACAACTGGGAATCATTACAATCCAGACTCAAAGATAAATACCATTTCCTTTTAAATGCAGAACCTGTCTAAAGTTATGTGTATATGTGTGTTGGTTTCTATCTGTGTATGCATGTTATGAAACTGGAAAAGGAATCATGAGGTGGGAAGAAGAGAGATTATAAGAAAATAGAAGGAAGTACAGTCTCTGGAAGAAAGGGAGGGAGTCAGCCAGTGTGGGGAGCAGGCGATGGGGGGGAGGTGGGTGGGTGAGTGGGGTGCAGTAGGGAAAGGGAATGAATGAAAGATGATGACACAGTATGAAAACGATGAAACTCTGCCACTTCTCAGTGCATGGACAAAGGCTTCATAAAACCTTTATAAAGAAAATTAGGCCTAGAGCAATAGCTCATTTATTAAAGTGTTTGGTATGTAAGCCTAAGGACCTGAGTTCAATCCCCAGAACCCACATAAAATGCTGGACATTCTGGTGCATGGCTATAATAGAAACTCTGAGGAGGTGGAGACAGGAGGATCAGATTGACAGTCCAACCTGGCTTGCTCAGTAAGAAACCCTGTCTCAGAAACCAAGGTGGCAATTTCATGAGGGCTCAGTAGATAAAGGTGCTTGCCACCAATTGTGATGACCCGACTTTATCCCCGAGCCCACATGGTATAAGGAGATCATAGACTCCTCCACAAACTTCTGCCTTCCAACATGCACTGTAGTACACATAGTATCATGGAGAGGTCTGTGGATTGCTCTCTGGCCAACATTCATGAGGGTTGTCTTCTGTAGTGTACCTATGGTAGTTAATGTGACAGTAGTTCCTTGTGATTTGACTTGCATTTCCTTAATGATGAGGGTCTGCCCACATACAGTCCACTTGCTATCCATTCACACATCTGATCGTTTTGTGTGTTTGAAAGAATCACAGCTGCTCTTTGTACAATTGTATAGGTTGTTTGTATTCTTTTCAGTACAAGTCCCATCATAGTTTGTGTGGCCAGTTTTCATTTCCCACCCTTTCATTTGCCCACTCCCTTTTAAGAATGGTACCTATGGAGGACTGGAAACATTTTCATATTGAATTTTAAAATTTAACACCAGTAGTTTCTGTATTTGAAGAACTTTTCTGACTTTACATTTATAAAAATTACTTTGTGTTTTCCTCTGCATGGAAGCAAGATGTACTTAGGTCAGTGATCCACAGGTGCTTAAGTTCTGTCTGTGCTGCAGGTTGACATGCAATTCAAACAGTATCTATACTCACAAGTGTGACCTTTCAAAACAGGAATTTTCATGGCAAAATTTGCTGAAAACCATTTCCTTCTACACATACAAGTCTGTACCTGACTGTGACTTTTTAAATTCATTTTAAAAGTATGTATTTCATTTTATTTGTGTGTGTGTGTGTGTGTGTGTGTGTGTGTGTGTGTGTGTGTGTGTGTGTGAGAGAGAGAGAGAGAGTCACTCCCTCCCTCCCTCCTTGGGGCTGAGTTACAGGTGGTTATGAGTCACCAGGCTGTCTGCAAAAGAGGTGAGAGCCCTTACGGCTCAGCTATCTTTCCAGCATTTTGTTTCTTTCATCTATTTCTTTCTCACTTGAGAACAATGGACTGTTTGATTACTGTGACTGCATAGTAAGATTTAAAATCAGGTAGTGTGGTTCTTATGACTTTGTTGTTTCCTTGAGGTTTCCAAAATTCCAAGTCCCTTCATTTCCTCCATAGTAGTAGAGTCTGCTGGCCAGTTTCCTGAAGAAATGCCCTGTGGTTTGCTGAGGATAGTATTGAGTCTTCAGAGCACTGGTTCTCAACCTTCCTAATGCTAGGACACGTTAATACAGTTCCTCATTTTGTGATGACCCCCAACCATAACATTATTTTCACTGCTACTTCATAACTGTAATTTTGCTACTGTTATGAATTGTAATGTGAATATCTATGTTTTCTGATGGTCCTAGGTTCCTCTGTGAGAGAGCTGTTTGATCCCCTAGGGGTCATGACACACAGGTTGAGAACCACTGCTTTAGATGCTTGTGAGCAGGAGCAGCATCCATCTTAGGTATTGAGTCTTTTGATATTTTAGGCATCAGCTCACAAAGTTTTAAAGAAAAAAAATTGAGTTTTTTAGGCTACAAGTTAATCCCACTACAGATGTGCCACAAGTTCTGATCCTGCATGTGAACCATGGGCCTCTTTTGAGTTCACCTTCATGATGTTCACAGTTCTATGGATTTGGCTGTGTTTGGGCACATGCCAGTGTCGGACTTTGACTCAGGTCTTAGTAGCTTGGTCCTCTCAGTCTCTGGATGCCGTTGGATCAGACCTGAGCGCTTATGTTCAGAGGTAAGCACAGCAGTCCCTGGCAGCATGGGGATGCTCTCTAGCTCTTTCTTCCCTGGGTATCTCTACCCCTGGAGCCTCCCTCCTTTCCTAGTTCTCTTTACAGAATCCGGAACTTTCATTCCTGTATCTTCTGAGACTTGGTAGGCAGAAGACAAAGAAGATAGGAAGCAGCAGGAGTTGGTGTCTCTCTGATGTGGGTTCCCTCTCTCTCTCTCTCTCTCTCTCTCTCTCTCTATCTCTATCTCTATCTCTCTCTCTCTCTGAAAAGAAAGCAAGTCTCTGCCAAAAACTTTGGTTTCAATTAGATAAAAATGCATTTGATTTGAGGTACAATATCATATTTGCTGACCCTGCCCTTTGTTGCTCAGTGGGGTGTAAATGGAGCTATACAGCCTTAAATGAGTGATCCATTCAAGTTCAGGGGAACTGTTTTCTGACTGTTTCAGTCAGAGTTAATGCTGGTGCTAGTCTCATTGGCTTGGGAGGTGGTGTTGTATCATATGCTTTTTCCTCGAGAGACACAACAGAACACAATACACACACACACACACACACACACACACACACACACACACACACACACACGAGAGGCACACACCCCTACTCACTCTAGATAGGGAGCCCATGACTTTCCAAAGTATGGATATCACCAAAATTCAATTTGATGAACTAATGAGCATTATGGGCTGACTTACAGGAATATGGGTGAGGGAGTACTACCAGAGTATAAATGACTCAAAGACAGCTGCATCACCAGAGCTTGCCCCCAGCAGAGGTAGCAGCACACACAAGCAGGGAACCTCGAGTGTACTGCATTTCCTGTGGGCAGGTCAGCCAGTTGGAGAGCATGCTTTCTCTGTGAATCAGATGGCCTAAGATCTTTGCCAGCAGCTTGGCTGATCTCAGAGGCTTCTTTGCAGCCTTGCTTGTCTGAGAATGATTCTGAGCATCTTTATAGATTACTCTTGGAAAGAAGGGCCTAGTGAATCTGATCATTTTCCGGAACTTCCTGAAGCTATTTTGTGTTACTTCCTTCAATCTTAAGGAACTTTCCTGGGGGGATGGACCAATCTGGAAGGTAATTGCTACACAATAGGCAGATACAGTTCATTGACATTTTTTAATCTGAGTGTATAATGAGAACACGTGTGTGTGTGTGTGTGTGTGTGTGTGTGTGTGTATGTGTGTGTACACCCATACATAAATAATATAGATATGTACATGGGTGGCTATATATGAATGTTACTTCAGTATACTTACTTGAAAGCAGTGAATTCACTAACAGGTTGTCCTTAGCAACTGTAACCACAAATTCAATTTATAAGTAGCACATCCTCAGTGTGCTCAATTTTCTACAAAAGTATTGGTATGTGAAGGAAAGCACCCTTTTAAAGAGAATTAGCAATTTGATTGGAAATTTCCTCTTTTTCACCAAAGATTGGAATGTATCCAAATGACACAGCAACCATAGGTCCTGGCTGCAAGCTATTCCTTTACTTCCGTTAGCATGCACACCGTGTTTACTTCAGCACTGTTCACAGCAGCTGTTAGGTGTTCAACAGCAATGGAATGGATAGGGGAAAGGTGCTTTATGTCTGCAATGGATGTTTCTTCAACCATAAAGAAGAATGAAGTTATGCAATCTGCAGGAACGGGCACAACTGGAGATGATCATATTAAGTTGAGTAAGCCCATCTCATAGAGACAACTACAATGTGTTTTCTCTATCTCTGGTCATTTTTTCCTCTCAAATCTCCATATTAGGTGTTAATGGATGCCTTGCTACTTCCATTGTGGTGTATGGATCAAGGTGGTGTATGATAAATCTTTCCCCATACTCCTACTTTTAACTCACCTATACTGTTAATGTTTACAGTGAGGTTTTTTTTCGTAGGAAACATAGTTGGACCATGTTGTTTTAAACTACTCTACAATTTAACTTGTGTGTGTGGTTGCTTTTTTAAAAGATTTATTTATTTATGTATTTATGTCTGCATCTCTATATGTATGTGTAGGAGCCTTCTGAGGCCAGAAGAGGGTATTGGATCCACTAGAACTGGAGTTACAGGCACCTGTGGGCCACCAGTGTGGGTGCTGGGACCTAAGCCCAGGTCCTCAGCCAGAGCAGCAAGCATTCTCCAGTCACTGACCCATCTCTCCAGCCCCAAATCTAAGTTTTAATTTGTTGTGTAGAGGTTGTTTACTCTCAGCTGAGCTACTGATGTGTCATAGCTTATGTCTCGTTTTTCTTTATTGTTTTCATTTCACCGTTTTCCCCTGCTACTATCCTGTGGGTGTTGAAACAGTTTTCAGGATTACTTTTGATTTATTTATAGCATTCTTTGAATGTATTTGTCTGGATGTCTTTTCTAGTGTTTGTCAGAGTATAACCTCACACACATAGCTCATCCATGCTCAGATAGGGTGCTCTAGAGATAATTCATTCTTATGTCTCTTCATTTACTTCCCCCCATTTATAATGCAAATGTCTTGATTTTCTTCCACACACACTTAGAAACACATTACGTGGTGGTGTCATTTTTGCTTCAACTTTCAAATGATTTTGAAAACATGAGGAAGGGTTTCTGCACTTATTCAAGCTTTTCCTTTCTCACTGGTGTTCCAGGATTCCTTTGTCTAGGGGAGGGTTGTCTGTGTAATAAACATCCCCCTCTTCCTCCATCCCCCTGCCACCTTCCCTCTCTCTCTCCCTCCCCCCATGCTTTCCCTTTCCCCTCCCACTCAGGATCATAGAGCCCAGGCTAGTATAGACCTTGATAAGTGGTGAAGACTGGCTAGAATTCTGCATTTTTCTGCCTTTTTTTTCTCAAGTGCTGGAATGATGGTTATGCATTATTACTCCCGGCTATGATGTTATATTTTTGTTGAACCTAACATATACAACCTGATGTTATGGTATACGTTATGATTGCTACAGACAAGCAAATTAACATCTGTGGCCTCCCATTTAGTATGATTTTAATCGTAGCTTCTTTGGTAATTGAATGCATGAATACAATGATTTTAGATTTTTCTCCTCCCACTACTCCCTCACCTTCCATTTTACTCTTTGTGTGTGTTTGATAAGAGAACCCAAAATCTCTTAGTAAAGTTTCCTTCTTCAGTGGAATATTACCAAAAAACAGTCCCCATGCTTCACAGAAGAGGTTTAGCTTTATTGAGCCAGTCTAACTGCAGATTTGTACCCTCCTGTTTCTTCTCATACCCCCTCCTTCCCTACTGCAGGCATCGACTTTTCTGTACTCAATGTATTCTGTGTTGTGTAGATGCTACACGAACTGGCATCATGCCATATTTTCCTTTCTGTGTCCAGTTTATTGTACTTAAACCAATATCCTCCTATTTGTTCTTATTGTTACAAGTGGTCAGGTCCATTTCTTTTTTATGGAATTCTTAATATTCTTACATATTTCAATTTATTCATGCAACTGTGAAATGATATAAGTTGAATCCATATTGTGGCTATGTATAACACTGCATAAGGTGACTTCATTAGATTTGGAAATCCCCTCTAAAGAATGGTTCCTAGGTCCTGTGGTATTATTTTGAAGGAAAACCATATTCTTTCATAAAAGGACCATATAAAGTTAGTTCCGCCAACAGTATACAAGGATTTGTTTTTCTCTCTACCATCAAGAACACTTGCTGTATCTTATTTTTAAGTAATTATTTTTGTGTAGTATATGTCTATGTTGATGCCATGTTTGTATGTACATATGTATGCACAGTGTATGTGCTTGTCTCTCTCTGTGGGTGTGTATAGATCAGAGGTTGTCTTCTTCAATCACTTCTTGCTTTATTTTTTGAGACAGAGTCTCTCACTGAGCCTGGTCCTGATTGATTGGCCAGTGAGTTCTCAAGATCCCCCAGCTTCTGCCTCCCTGTTGCTAGAATAGCCTCCCTGTTGCTAGAATAATAGGTGCATACTACCATGCCAGGCTACTTAACAGGGTGCTGGGGATCTGATGTCAGTCTTTGTGTCTGCACAACAAGCACTTTAACATCTGGTACATCTCTGTGTTCACAGCTGTATTTTGGTCCTATCCATTATAACAGCTAGGAGGTGATATCTCCTTGTGCCCCCCCACTTTGTTAGAGATTAGTGAAAATCCTGGATCCTTTCCCCATATCTTCAACCATTTCTATGTCATCTTTTTAGAATAGTACCCAATTAGTGGCCCCACCATTGCAGTTATGGAGGCTACTTTTTGTTGCTTGTTTCCTTGACCATGAAGATGCTTTCGAGTTGATGCATCTCATTCATTCCTATGTGCTTTCTGATGCTGAGCTTTGTTGTAATAGTCACTGATAGCAGTTTGAAGAACCGTTTTCCTAGCTTTTCTTCTAGATTTCCTCCATGATTTAAAACTTATTTCTACTGGTGTTCGTGTGTGTGTGTGTGTGTGTGTGTGTGTGTGTGTGTGTGTGTGTGTGTACATGTATGGAGGTCAGAATCAGACATTCCTTCCATCATGTGAGCCCTAGAGATTGACCTCAGGTTGTCAAACTTGACAGTAAGCTCCTTTACCCACTGAGCTATCTTACTGGCTCCTTCTAAAAGTTTTATCATTTAAGCTTTCCATTTAGGCATTCAGTATATTCGTATTGATTAGTTTTAAAATTTCATTCACGTGTGTGTGTGTGTGTGTGTGTGTGTGTGTGTGTGTGTGTTTGTGTTTACAGCACATGTGTATGCCCTGGAATGCATGTGGGAGTCAGATTACAATTGAACTGTGTGGAGTTTGTTTCCTCATTCACCATAGAGGTCCCAGGGATATCATTCAAGTCCTCAGGGTTTGTGACAGTGTTTCTGCCCCCTGAACCAGATCCTCAGTCCCTTGACTCATTTTGTCTCATTAGCTTCTTCTCTTCTTGGAGAACTTTGTTTGCATAATCTTTTAAGATAGTTCTACTGGCAACACATTATTTTATCTGTCTGCCTTTACCTGATGCTCTCTTGCTCTCCCCTTCATTGCTGAGGGATATTCTGACTAGATAGGTGAGTCTGTGCTGATAGTTCTGGATGTTGTACTTTTTCCCAGCCCATGTAAAAACCCTTGCTGCTTCCTTCTGATGAGAGACTTCCTATTGTTCTAACCGTGCTGTCTCATGGGTATCCCCATCATGCCTCTACTTCTCTACCCCACTAAAGAGTTCTGTTCCCTTTAGTCTGACTCTCCACAGGAAGGTGTATCTGTGAGGTGTCTGGGTGCAGAGTTTTGGGTGAAAATCTTTTCAAGGGCTATTTCAGTTCTTAAATCTGTAGCTTTGTGTGGTTTGCTCTTCTTTCTTTAATTGAGCAGTTTTTATTATTTCTTTATTTCTTCACCCTACCACCTCTCTTATCTTTGAAGAACTCTGAAAAAAAGGCACTGGGGTCCCTTCGTCTTGATCTTCTGTGTCCCCAAGACTTTGTTCAACTGTTGATATCAGCCAGTTTTCTCTTTGTGTCTACACTGTATACTTTTTCTTTAATTAAAACAATATTTACTCGTGTACCTGTAACTGTGTGTGTCTGTGTATATATGTACATGCCTATGGGTCCCTACAGCAGCCAAAAGAGGGTTTTACATCCCATGGATGGGAGTTACAGATGATTGTGAGCCATTTGTAGATACAGGGAGTAGACCAAATTCCTCTGGAAGAGCAGCAGGTACTCTTCCAAGCTGAGCCATGTCTCCTGCTCCTGGCTGCACATTTTCTATTACTCCCTCATCTAGTTCATCCATCCTTGCTGCTTCCCTCTGTTCTGATCATCATCCTGAGTCTTGGCCTCTGTTTCAAGTAGTGAATAGTTCACTATTATATTTACACTTCGTTCTTTTATATGTATTAATTTCTGTGCTCAGGCTTTCTTTCCTCGTTAATAGGGATTCAGGTTGAATTATGAACCTAACTGTCCATGGGAGCGTTTGTGTCATGGCTACCATGCAACCCCTTTTCCTAGCAATCTTACCATTTGTTGTTTTAGTTATTGCCTACCACATTTCACCACTCAGTTCCAGAGGTTGGTAGCTGTGTGATGAGAGACTTTTTGGCTCCATGGACACCAGGATG